CAGCTCGCTGTATCGCAGTGCGGTGAAGTGTGGTGAAGTGAAGTTGGTGAAGTGGAGTTCTATGAAAGATTGCACGGTGAAATGTTCAAGTGATTTTGTAAAGTTTGTAGAGTTTGTATAGTTGTTAAGTTCTGTAATGTTAAGCCATTATTCCAGCCAGCCAATTCTGCCACCAAGTTCTCACACTTCATTGCAGAATTATTAATAAATCTAATTTAATCCAGTGCAATGGGAAGTAGCACAGATCCAAGTCTTTTTAAAGCCAGGTAAACCTCCCTATGAACCCTCATCGTATCAACCCCTTAAGTATACTTCCAATTCTACCCAAAGTGTTCGAAAAACTTATCCTGAGCAAACTACGAGCTAGCTTGTCAACAAATGGCTTCATCCCAGATCACCAATTTGACTTCAGGTTACAAAATTCTACTATTAAACAACTTTCTAGAAGTACCAACTAGAATCAACCAAAACATTCCAAGAAAAACAATACTGCTTAGCTGTTTTTTTAGACATACTCAAGCTTGATGTCGATTAAGTGTGGTGCAATAGCTTCTGAACAAAATTAAACATTCCCTAACGTATCCATAACTTAATATCTTTAGATCTTACCTCTCCCACTGAATATTTCAAATCAAGTATCAAAACAAATTATCCAATTTCTTTCCAATCCAATCCGGAGTACCCGAAGATAGTGTGCTCGGCACAGTCTTATAGCAGATCTACACATTAGATGTTCCGGATAGTGAAAAAACTACAATAGCTACATTTGCAGATGATACTGCCATATTAGCCATGGATGATGACCCAATTGAAACATCAAGAAAACTACAAGAGCATCTACTGTTGATCAAAGAATGGGCATACAAGTGGAAAATAAAAATTAATGAAAGCAAGTCAGCTCATATTACTTTCACTTTGAGAAGATATAAATGTCCCATCGTAAATATTAATAATAAGCCAAATTTGCTGGTCGGAAGTGTCATGTAGTTAGGAATACATCTGGACAAAAGGCTTATCAGGAAAACCCACATACTAATTCAGAAGAAGCAACTTCAACTACAAGTAAAAAGACAGTATTGGCTACTAGGACACCATTCAAAGCTATTCTTTGATAATAAATTATTAACTTACAAAACAATAATAATCCCTATTTGGATCTACGGTATCCACATCTGAGGCACAGCAAGCAGGTCAAATCTCTCCATTTTACAGAGATTTCAATCAAAAACGCTTAGGATGATTGCTGCAGCACCATGGTGTATCTCAAACTTGACGCAACACAGACACTTAAGAGTACCAACAGTCTTTGAAAGAATTGAAATAAGCAACTAAGGCCATCTTCGACATCTGAAAACCTACCCCAGTCCTCTAGTCATCAACCTCCTAGATAATAGTGAAGAAACAAACCGATTAACCAGAATTACACCCTTACAACTTCATTATAAATTTCAAATTAGCCCCTGTGTAAGCGCCTCCTACTACACGCTCCTGCTTCACTACCAAACGGCCAGAATTGAGAAGGAATTAGGATTGGGGAAGGGTTTAGGACACTTCACACGGGTTGGACTAGCCCTTGTGAAGCAGCCAAACTGGAACAAATTTCACACGAGATTGTTCGACGGGAATCGAACCCGGACCTCCTTGGTGAAAGATGAGACACTTTTCGCTCTGAGCCATCAGATGAGTCCACTTCCGTTGTGATTAACTTATTCTACTGCAGAGTGACGCCAATTGGCTCGAATGCATTATTGGCACTTCCAGAACATTCAATGAAACCTGATAAAATGATCACCTCAATTAAGCGGTCACCTGCATAACGACCATTTTTCGTGGAACCGACTGATTCCTTCAAAAGACACGTGTAAAAATTCCCTCCTTTGCAGGCACCTGACCGCGCAGCTAGCGGCCAGGCACACTTCGTAGATTGATCGGCCGCTAAACCTATTTGTCTGTCCGTCTGGAACTGTCAGTCTGCCTACCCGTCCGTATAGTCAGAATCCATGTTTTGTGTGTCCTTGATATCGAAAAATCGATTGACGACAAAATGCCCGTCTTTCTGTCCATCCGTTAGTCTCCCCGTCCGCCTGTTCGTCTGTCTCTTCGTCCGTCAGTTCGTCCGTCTGTTAGTCTGTCTGTTCAAAACAATTTACATGATCTTAATGAAAGACCTTACTATGGAGAACAAATTTTATTTGAAGGAAAAATCTGTATCTTTAATTTTGTAGTTGTAGGAAGACACAAAAAAAGGTTTATAACTAAATGTTTAATAATTTTGAAATTTTCGAAAATTTAGAGTAAACCCTGAAAATCGGACCTATGTCACGTTTATAAGTGTATGTTATTCTATTCTTTCAAGAAATTTACAGAAAAAATTGGAGCATTTTTTGAGAAAATTTTGAAAATATCAGGAGGGCTTCATGTGAAGTACCCCAACATTTTGAAAAATGTTTTTCAAAATCTCAAAGTTTCAACTCTGCCAGATGGACAGGGGTTTCTTCAATTAGTAAAAAACCTCTACGCATGGTTTAGGCGCTAGTAGTGTTCACAGACACCAGACAGACGGACGTTTCGAAAAAAAAACCTCTTTTTAGGTATCTGGGGTTTTCCTTTGAAATCTCGAAATCGATTTTCTGCAGCATTACATAATTTTCCCTATACAACCTAAATTACTCCGTATGTATATGAGAAAGTAATAAAAAATAAAAAGACATGGACTGAAGAAATGGAAGCAGATTGAGGAGAAATAAATATAAAGATTAGAAAATTCAAGGGCAGCAATATGTAATTAATTATGTCAAGAAAACTAAGCTCATATGAAGAAAGTACTTTGATTCAAATTTTAAATATAAAGGTTAGGAACACAGTTCATAACTTACTAGGTGTCAATTTTAAGAAAATTTATTATTGTAAGAGATGAATTTCAAGTATATTAAATTTTTATAATAGTAGAGTTGTTAAAATGAAGGATTCTCACCATATCCACCAATGATATATACATAAACATTCCGGCTGCAAACCCAAAGATGTAGTGACTTGCTTCAAATTCCCCAAGTAATATCCCTAATATCAAGCCCAAGTAACAGGTGCATGCAGACAAGAAGTTGTATACAAGAGCTTGTTTCATAGTCATGCCAGCATTCAACAGAACAGCAAAATCACCTGCAATGAAAAAACAAAATATTACACATGAATGTAAGAGAAAACATGTTTTTTATTTTAATTGTATGGAGACACAGAAAGCATTTAAATGACACTTCAAAGCAGGAACTCTAAAAACTATTTACATACACATTTAATATGATTTATTTAAATGCAAGTATGGCAACATGGTATAAAGTGCGAGAGAAAGTGTTGCTAATTCCTATGTAAAATAATTTAATTTTCTAATTTAAAATTTTAAACGTCCTCAAATTTGCTTTCTGTTGTATTAGGATGCAGTCTGCTTGGTGGGTTTTCCTTGCCTAGGGGGTTTTCCTCCAAAGTCGGTGGCAGGGGGATTCTACTTGATGGTGGCTGGAATTGACTTTTTTATTCTAGGCCGCCGCATACAGAGCAGGTAAATAGACCACATAGAGCTGTCACTCAAAATTTTATGAACAATTCTAATTCTCTGCATTTTGAAATTCAATTGTACGTTCAAGTTGCTTTCAAACAATTTTGAACATATTTTTGTATGCGTAATTTTATTTAAAACTCACAAGAGCATACTAATTAATGTTTCTTTAATAAACTACTCATACGAAAGATAAACGAATTTTTATACGTCGTTCGGTGGATGAGCACAATTTTTGGTCCGAGTCTGACTATATTAAGTCATTTATAATAATAACAACAACAACAACAACAACAAAGCCAATCCGACTAAATCTCATGGGCCGTGGTATCTTCTGCGCTGGACCGTCGTTGAGACATTATTTCACGCAGAAGATTGGCTGAGAGCGTGAGCTTTCCTCTTCAGATGGTCGCTATGGTATTTTAGCACTCTGCTTTTAGTAGTGGATTTCTGTTTTAGTACATGAGCCACGAAGTCTCGCACTGTTTTCCAGTTGTCTCTGGATTGCAGCATAGTCTGGGCTGTGTTTGCAGGCGTTAATTCCCGTCGCAATTTGCTGTAGCAGTTTCTTCTTTCTTCCTCCCAAGCTTTGCAACTATATATGGTGTTCATTGAGTCGTCTTCATGGCATAGTGCGCATATCGGGTTTTCAGCGATTTTATATCTGTATAGATATGCTTGTAAGTTCCCATGCCCTGAGAAGGCTTGCGTCAAATAGAAGTCTTTTATACCATGGTTTCTGCTGGTTCAATCTTTGATGTTAGGGACGAAGCTGTGTGCCCATCTTCCTTTGTACTCCAGGTCCCATCGGTTTTGCCACTGGTACAGGAGATAGTTTCTCAATTCCGCTTTGATATTGTCTAATTGTCTTTTTGACAGTTTGTTGTTTATCTGCTGTCGTCCTTAGGTACATTGTTCTTTCCTGGGCTAAGAGGTCCACTGGGAGGACACTGGCCAGTACTAAGGGTACACTGTCGGATACCGTGCGATATCCTGAGATTATCCTTAGAGCCATCCTTCTCTGGATCTTTGTGAATTTTCGTCCAATGGACTCTTTAGCTAGTGCTTCTGCCCGCACTGGGGCGGCATACAGCATTTTTGAGTGCACTATGGCACAAATCAGCCTTCTTTTGCTTTCACTGGGACCTCTTGAGTTCAGCATTAGTCTGGAGAGATTTGATCCAGTCTTTGCACCTTTACCTGCTGTTTTTATAACATGGGGTCCGAAGCTCAGTCGCTAATCGATTTCCACCCCCCAGGTATTATATGCTGTTTCCATTCAATAAATTCCTCCCCCAGTCGGATCACCGGGGGGCGGAATGCTCTGCGGTTTGTAATCAACACGGCCTCCGTCTTGTCAACAGACATCTGGAGGTTTCTTTGGTCCAACCATCTTTTAACCCTGCAGGGTGTTTGGTTGGTCTTCATTTCCAGTAGTTCCGTGTTGTCACTATGGCATATGATCAGTGTGTCGTCGGCGTAGCCTATGAGTCTGGAGTTCTATGGGAGTTCGATATTCAGCAGGTCGTCATATAGAGTATTCCACAGGAAGGGGCTCAATCTTGATCCCTGTTGGACACCGCACGTCATGTCTATCCTATATCCGTCGGTGAAGATTATTTTCCTCTCACAGAGGTAGTCCTCCAGAATCCTCACAAGGTATTCAGGGATCTTCCTAGCTACTAGGACTTGTATGATGTCTTTTCAGCTGGCAGAATTAAATGCATTTTTAATGTCAATCGCAACCAAGGCACAAAACCCTTATTCCTTTTTCATGTTTCTGCATGGTGGACTGCTTGATATAGCGTATATTGTCGAGAGTCCCTTGCTAAATCCAAACTGTCTCGTTGAAAATTGCACATGTCTCTCTAGTCGTAGAACGAGCAAACCCTCCAGTAATTTGCTCATCGTATCCAGCAAGCACAGAGGTCTGAACGATGACGTCCGATCGATTGGCTTGTTATCTTTCCGCATGAGAATTAGCTTCTGTTTCCAATACATAGAATTTCCCTTGTTTAAGACACTGGTTAAAGGCTTTCAAAAGGCATTCTGGGTATTCATTATCCCCAGGATCGCGTTGGGAATACCATGAGGTCCAGGTGCAGTTCTAATCTTGGTATTGTTCATCGTCTGGACTAGTTCGTCCCTCATGATGCGGTTCGCTTCGTCGAAGAGGTAGTCAGGTCTGCTTCTTACACAGCATTCTCCGCTAGGAAAAAGGTCTTTGATAATTGTCTTCACCCATGAGGGGTCTTTCAGCCCCGCGGTTGTTGAAGGTTTACATTTGCCCATATCAATCTTGTAGGCTTTTCCCCAGAGGTCGTTGTTCACATCATTTAATAGGACATTCCAGCATTTAGTTTTGCTTATTTTAATCTCCGATTTTAGTCTTTTGCGGGCCGTCTTGTAATTTTCCCATAGCAGAATGTTCGTTTTAGCTCTTGTTGCGAGTCTTTGCGCTTTCACACATGCTTGACGAAGCTCTGCAATAACCGCAGTCCACCAATACACCTGATTTTTTCCCTTTGGGCTCCTACGTCTGGGCATTGAGATGTCACACGTGGTTTTTACGGTTTCGCACGTTGTCCGTACTACCTCTTCGAGGGACTCTGCTCTTTTCCTTTTACTCCACCCCATGGACTCCAGTAAATTAGCTTCATCAAGGAATTTTATGGCATCAGCTTCTTTTAGCTTTTTGGTGTGCCATGATGGACCTATGCTTGGTCGATTCCTTCTTCTAGCACTGTTTCCAGCGGATGAAGTGGAGAATTCGATGTAGCGGTGATCGCTAAGTGTTTCAGCATCGAGAACCTGCCAATCCAGGACATTCTTGGCAATCCTTGTGGTTCCTATTGTTAAGTATATTATCGAAGAAGCTGTGCCTCTTTGAAATGTACATGAGCTCTGTGTTTAGAACTAGCAGGTCCATCCTAGCTAGGAATTCGCAAACAATATCGCCTCTGCGAGGAGTTCTGCTTTCGCCCCATTACTTTCGCCCCGGGGACTTGCTGTTAAAGTCTATAGCCAATATTATTTCTCCCGGGAGTTCATTCTTGCCTCCAGTCATCGATTTGTTTCTTAAATTTCTCTATTCGGTCGTTTGGGGAGAAATAGCAACTATATATTTTAAGGCTGTCCATTTCTACCCATACAAACCCTTGGTTTGTAAGTTTAAATTTAGAGGATCTTATTTTGGAGTGAAGTATTATAATTCCTGCACGTCTGGTCGTGTCCTGGTAGCGAGATATATCATCAATATCCTGCTGCTCACTGACCAGTAAGACATCCACCTGTCTTTCTCTTGCCATTTGAATTAGTAGTTCTTGGGAGGTCTTCCCTTTGCCTAAATTAATTTGAAGGAACCTAGGCGTTCTTTGTTTTGCTGACTTTCCTTAGTTCTGCAGTGAAGGAAGGGCATTTATAGCTACCCAGCTTATGATTGTCTTCAAGGTTTTGGTCTTTGCAGTCATTGTACACTGAACTGGTCCTCTGCAGTCCTTGGCCCAGTGTGCCGTTTGGCTACATTTGTAGCATACATCACTTCTGTCGGGGCCCTTGCAAGAGGTGGAGATATGGCCAAAGCCTAGACATTTAAAGCATCTGCTGACCTGGTGCTTCATTCTAACGTGGCAGGTAAGCCAGCCCATCTCAAGGTGCCTCCGTACACCTTGTATAGTCTCCAGGTCGCCGGAGAGAAGTCCCCCGTAATACGTGTGACAGCATCTCTCACCACATCTAGGGTAACAGATTCATCTATGTTCCTTAATTCGATTAAGGTTTTGGGGTTAAACGTGTTGATGTTTACCCTGTCTCCTATTGCCCGGGTGATTACTTAGTTTAGGCAAGTGGGATCACAATCTTTCTCCAGGACTATCAGGAGTTCATTTTTACGTGTCAACGGCTTACTTCATTCTTTTTAATATTTCGGCATATGATTGCCCTTCGTTGGCTGTCAATTTGATGGCCTGATTGGTGGGTCTTCTATTCCTTGCCTTGGGGAGTTTGATTGCCTTGTTTGGTGTAACTCTTGTTTTTCTTCACCGTCTTCCTGTGTTCCACTTTCTGTCAGTTCTCATCGGGGTTTTGGTTTGGTTTGTCAGTAACTAGCTCTATGACTTCTTCCCGTTTGTCTTTCTTATCAGGCCTCTTGTCATGTAGTGGACTTGGAGCTTGTCTCTCCTTATTCTGGGACTGTGCCGTTTTCACCGACTTCCCGTTCATCTGCACGCCGTGTTTGGTATTCTCGGCCTTTTTGTCATTCTCTAGGATTATTTTCTCATACATCCCCTTATGGTCTTCTTTAATATTTTCCACCTATTCTTTACGGCATCCACCTCTTCTAGAGCTATAGCCAAGGTGTCCACTATAACTGGGTTGTTTTTCAGAATGTTACTGCGAATGATAATTAATTGATGACTGTATACGGGCATTAATCTCCCATTATTATTATTATTATTATTATTATTATTATTATTATTATTATTATTATTATTATTATTATATTATTATTGTTGTTATTATTATTTGTGCAGCAAGAGGCATAAAAAAGGATCTTCCCTGGTCTGTGGGACTCCCAACTATTAAAAACACCTCTCTTGTCTCCACA